ATTTCTTTTGATGATATTGTGGTTAAGAATTTAGAGTCAAATGTTACGATTTCTATTCGAATAGTGCCGTTAGCTTTTGCTACTTGTGATACCTAGTTTCACAAATTACCAGCGATGTCAAACTTGCTTTAACACATTCACCATCAGTTTAATTACCAAACAACTATTCCAAGTAAATTGCTTTTAGGAATTCCAATTAAACCGACACAACCGATTGAACAGAGTATGATGTTCACGAATCTATGACTAAATCTTAGCTCATAACAAGCATCGTTTAATTCCGTTGTTATTTCAAAAGCAAACTAAGTTCTATAGAAAAAACTCCATAAATTTCATTCAAAAGTTGAAGCTAACAGCAAGGCAAAAAGATGAAGAAAATAGGAAGGACAAAGAAAAAATATTGAAAAAGATTAATTTGTCGGACGTTTTCTTAAAATGATTGTTTTAGACACATGGAAATATTTCCAGATGTTGTTATTTAATTTCAAAATTTAATAAGTCTCATGTTCGTTCTAAAGAAAAAATGCATAAAAAACGTTGTAAAAACAATCTTTTATGTAATAATGCACTTAAAACAGAAAATAAATGATTTTCTTTAAATACATAATGATACACGACTATTTAAATATTTATAAAGGAAAACGTGGTTCATTATATTATTTTTTTTTCTTTCTTTCTATTATTTTTTTTTAAATACTTTTATTTGCAATTAAAACAAGTACATCAACATCAAATTTTTTAACATAATTTTGAACACCAAATGAAAACGAAAGGTTTTGCAAATGTACATAATGAATATTTACATGATGTCATGTATTTGATTATAAAAAATTGCAAAGGATGACAGTAAAAGGGGTGAAGGTCAAATGAAAGTGTCAGAAGTCTGGGTGGGGAGAGGAAAGGAAATTTTTCAGAGAGGGTCAATGGGACACAACTTAAGTTGACTAGTTGAAAGGGTGTTGTAGTGGTCGCATTGAGTTTTCAAAAGGTTGCAGTGTGAAAGATGAGGGGAAAGAGACAAGATTTAGAACTTTAAATAAGTTCTGTATATTGATGTTGCGGTGGGTGGTGGGGTCGTTGGAATAGTGGTTCATTATATTAGCTATTGGTTACCATTACTAATATTTAGGAAGAGAGCCACGCTTTTCTTTATAGTTATTTAAATAGTAGTGCATCATTATTTAATTAAAGAATTTTTTTTCCTTTTTATTGAATTATTGCAAAAAATCTTGTTATTACGTTTAATGCACTTTCAGTACTCTAAAATGTTTAAAACAATAGAGTTTCATCACTAAAAACTAAGGCGCACCAACCTACCGATTTAAAAAAAAAATGTTTATTAATTCATCAGGCGGGAGTGATCTCCCCTAAACTTTTTCGAATACTCTTATGTAACACTACGGGGATGGCAACTTGGGATATAGACATGATTTTTAATCATTTCTACTTTCTCGTATAGGGAGTATAAAGGAAGTATTGTAAATAGTAAAATAAAAATTCGAAATCGTGATTTTCACAAATCTCGACGTTTTACACCTCCCTGAGTCGAAAAACATAGTTTTTCAATTTTGTCTGTATGCCTGTGTGTGTACGTATGTATCTGTGTATTTTTTGTGAACACGATACCTTAAGTACTGTTACAGCTAGGTTGATGAAATTTCATAAGTAAGTATTATATCAAATTTGTAGATCTTTGTTTTCAGCGATTTCCGTTAACCGGAAATGTAATTTATTCTACTTTTGGTTTTTCAGAAGCCTATAACTTGAGTACTGTTCCAGGGAGATCAACAAAATTTAATGTCATATTGCACTGTTTTCAAGTCTTGACCCACGTGCCAATATTGAAAGAATTGGTTAGTTAGACGTGCCCGAAATTTTTCTCGAGCGTTTCGATCTATGACGACAGATAGACAGACAGAAGCACGACACGGGAATCAAGTAAAAGCTTGTAATATAAAATATGGAGCATGAAACTTATTTAATAGAACATTGGCTGGTTCTCTGGGCATTTCCAGCATCATTTATAGGAATGGGCTTTGGGCTCTTATTCCAATCATGCTACATATTAGTTACAATCAGGTAATATTTATCTTTGAAACCAAATATAGAAAACTACTTTGAAGAATTAAAGCTTAATTTTTAAAATCTATTTTTAAAGCTCACACTGACTGTTATTTTTTAAATGATTGCTCGTTTTTTAGTTTCTGGCGAATATTGTCACTCAATATTGACCCACTTCTAATGCACATAAATCGTTTTAACTTTACAGATACATTAGTCTCTGAAGACAACGCAAGAATGTATAATTTTACAACCTAAAATCTTGGAATCTGGATTATGAATCGTTTAGCATTTTATATGTGGCTGTTTTTGTACGCTACCTGTCGCTAACTGATCTTTTATTTTACAAATCTTAGTCAAAAAATAAAATGCAGGTAAACGTCTGTATATTTGCAGTTTTACCGTACAGAAACGGACGGGATCATTATCAAGTAATAAAAATATACAATTATAGATATAAGCCGTCGAAGCTAGTAACTCGGTTATGATTCATCTCAGTTTTTAATTGCTTTTGAGAAACATATGTCACTATTTCAATTGGTTACCTCTGATTTCGTCATATTTCAAGTGAGTAGGACAATGCATTCTTCCTATTGATTGTTTGATGACCTGGTCAGATTAGGTTAATTAGGTGAATTAACCGTTTTTAGAGGTTGGTGGATGCATCGAAAGCCGCATAGATACAACACTGTAACATCGAAGTGTAGCAGACGACAGGCTTGAATTGGAGAGTACGCTATAACCATTAAAAATTCATTCCAAAAATTCAAATACCATGTTAAATATTCATTTATTCAATATATACGTTTTCGTAACAATATCATGTTGATTGACTGGAGATTTTAAAGTTATGGGGATTACCCTATGTTGACCCTCAATCGTTTTACCTTCTCTAATAATTTGTAAGCTGGACTATTTGTTGACGCAGAAAATTAAGTACAACAAAATTGTTATTTTCAAGTGAGTCGTGTTGACTCCACTAGGACAGGTGTTGATTTCTGAGGCCAAAGTAAAGAATTTTATTAAATCCATGAAGTTGATTCTGCTGTTTATTGGAGCTTATTTTTAAAATTGTCTGATCCGATTTTCTAACATTATTTGACTTGAATTAAGTATTTGCCAAGTAGCTACCATTAACTCAGATTTGCAGTATCAACACTTAATCGACTAGATTATACAATCAACAACGTTTATTGATGGCATACATCATTGCAGGACGCCGTTGCCTATGATTATTCCATTATTTCGAATTTTTTAAAAGTTCTCCAATGAGAAAAAAGATTACAGAACGTGATAATCTTTTGTTATATATATAGCAGGCAGTAGCATGAAATTAACGGCGTGGCCTAGCAGTTGAGAGCTAGAACGCTAACACAAAAGTCTTGAGTTCGAATTCGGGTTGTACTTCATCAGCCCTAATGTGTATTGAGCACAAGCATGAAAAGATAATGTTGATTAAGAAATTATCTAATAAACTAATGTTATCACCGAATGACTTTGCAAATAAGTAAGTCACATAAAATATGCCAGGAAGAGTACAGAACATTGAAACACAAATATTTCTGTTGTTTCATATTTTATTTATACAGTGTGAATTATTAAATTATAATGATCTTTGTAAATGCTAGTTTTGTTGTTTATAACATGCAGAGAGACATGAAATCACTTGTGAAATATTGGCAGATAGTTTTATATAAATCCAAAGTTAAAAAAATATTTTAATATTACATGTCTAAAAAAAATGTAAATGCGATTTTTATTAGACATTCGGTTATAAATTGTATTCAACAAAAACATAAAATTATCCAATAATGAAACAAACCATGTCAATGTCTGTCAGCATTGAAGGTTGTATTCAAACTCTATGTTTACTTCTACACTTCTACCTGGGCTTACAACAAGACACCATTAATGTTTAACTTTTCAGCGTTTGCCGAATCTTCTGCTGAAGTAAGCTTTGACCTTCTGACCCAGAGTCGTATAGAACCAGGTTTAACCACCTCGTTTGTTCATAACGTTGTCAGACAGTTGTTGACGACATTTGTCGTATTGCTTGAACCAGACAGTTGGTGACGACATTTGTCGTATTGCTTGAACCAGACAGTTGTTGACGACATTTGTCGTATTGCTTGAACCAGACAGTTGGTGACGACATTTGTCGTATTGCTGAATCAGACAGTTGTTGACGACATTTGTCGTATTGCTGAATCAGACAGTTGTTGACGACATTTGTCGTATTGCTTGAACCATTTTGTAACATTTTCTAACTGGTGAATCCAAGGCCTATTATAGTAAACTTGAGCGTACGCATAGCAAGGTGTGTGTGTGTGTGGGGGGGGGGGGGGCTGCTGGGTACATATCCTGCCATCAACAAAAAAAAAATAAATAAAAAAAATAAAAAACACTCCGAAATCAACATTAACCCTCTCACACCTCTACCACACGTCACTAACTGTAACCCTATGCGGCCCGTGAACACATCAGGCCAACAACATCAAATAAAAGGCCGATATCATCTTAACCCTCTCACACCTCTATTACACGTCACAAGTTTAACCCTATGCGGCCCGGGAATACACCAGGCCAACAACATCAAATAAAACGCCGAAATCATCTTAAGCCTCTCAGTCCTGTATTACACGTCACTAACTGTAACCCTATGCGGCCCGGTAACACATCAGGCCAACAACATCAAATAAAACGCTGAAATAATCTTAACCCTCTCACACCTCTATTACCCGTCACTAACTGTAACCCTATGCGGCCCGGGAACACATCAGGCCAACAACATCAAATAAAACGCCGAAATCATCTTAACCCTCTCACACCTCTATTACACGTCACAAGTTTAACCCTATGCGGCCCGGGAACACATCAGGCCAACAACATCAAATAAAACGCCGAAATCATCTTAACCCTCTCACACCTCTATTACACGTCACAAGTTTAACCCTATGCGGCCCGGGAACACATCAGGCCAACAACATCAAATAAAACGCCGAAATCATCTTAACCCTCTCACACCTCTACCACACGTCACTAACTGTAACCCTATGCGGCCCGGGAACACATCCTGCCTCCAGCAGCCAGGAAGACGCCGCTGATCCCGATGAGGCAGCCTCCAGCTATGCTCAGGATGAACGAGTAGCCGAGAGTGTAGCCCTCAGGCTTGAGCTTCTCTTGGACAAACAGGCCCCAGACTAACAAACACACTGACACAAACACAGCTGAAAAAAAAATAATATTGATATTAGGTAAGGCTAAAAAAGTTTGAGCTCTTGTGATAATTTGTCGCACACTAATCAAGAAACGACAATCAGTTTCTTTCATGCATTTCTTCGGGGGTGGGAGGAGGAGGGAGGGGGAGGGAGGGGGCGGGGTTGAGACTCCTAAAAAAATCTACCGCCCCCCCCCCCAACGACATTGAATGTATATAGAACATATATACTTTTAACTGTGTCCGCCACCCTCGGAAATTTTAGTCCGCCTCCCCCCGAAAATGTCAAGTGCATCCCCAGAGAAATAAGTCTGGAATAAACAATGATGGCAACTGGAAACAAAAATCATTTTTACTTCAGAACATTTCGCAGCTTTAATATTCAATCAACCAGTCTATTATCCCATAACCTTTATTTGGGATTTTGGGGCACCACATTTTTTTTCAAACTTTTCCACCATATGTCTCAGGTCCTCTGCCTCTGTGACTACATTTGAAACAGGCAGCCCAGTCCTGTCTTTGATGTGATTCATCTAGTGAGTCATTGTCTTCCCCCTCTTCTCTGTCCTGGAATTATTCATTGCAAGATTGTTTGGGGATAGGTCAGGGCAGATTAAGCTTGAGCGGGGCTTCGGCTGATATTTTTTTGGGGCCCCTATATATATACATATATATATATATATATATATATATATATATATATATATATATATATATATATATATATATATATATATATATATATATATATATATATATATATATATATATTGTTGATTTTCACTATAAAACCTAAAGTTCTAATAGCTTCAATAATATATATATATATATATATATATATATATATATATATATATATATATATATATATATATATATATATATTACTGAAGCTATTAGAACTTTAGGTTTTATAGTGAAAATCAACAATTAGGCAGTAAATGTGGGGGCCCCTAAAAGACGGGGTCCCCTGACTGCCGTCCTCTCAGCCCCCCCCCCCCCCCCACTTCATCCGCCACTGGGATAGGTCATTGGTTCAAGTGACATACCATCTCAGCTTTTTGTCATGACTATGTTCTGTAGACTCTCAATGGGCCCGATCGTACTAGCAATGCTTTCACGAACTTCTTCATATTGTTTTGATAACTTTAGATTCCTTGAGTAAATTTCTGTTGAGCTATCATCTCACAGTTTTTACGTTCTTGTTAAAATGTGTCTAACCCTAAGATTATATATATATATATATATATATATATATATATATATATATATATATATATATATATATATATATATATATACATATATAATCTTAGGGTCAGACTTTCAAAGCAGACAGGGAAATTATGTTCTTCCAAAAGGTATAGTATCTGGGTAATTTTCAGTACACCGTCCCTTGAAAAGATGCATTCATTACATCCCTTGATCCCTTGAACAACGGATACATTCATTACCTCCCCTGAACAAAAAATACACTAATAACCTTTTACCACTTCATTGAATTATTACCTTCCTTTTAACAAAAAGAAACTTTGTTTCCTCCAATGTAAGAGCAGCTTTCCTCTCTACCCCCTCCCCCCGCCATTTATGTTTACACGTTCATTTAACTTTACGCACTGGGATAAACTGGTCTGACGCGTTTATTATCTTGTAAACAATAAACAAAGACAGCTCGCCCTCCCTGTGTGCTGCTGGTCATAAGGCTAGACAGAAATGTAAACACTTCACCTCGCGATCTTGGCCTGGGCATACGTGTTAAAACTTGCCACACGGTATCGATGGCACAGCGAGGGGGTGAGTGGAAGGGGGGGGGGGTCAACACTTGGGTGTCATGATTACACACATATATACTTACACTCACACACACACTCACGTATACACTCTCACACACCCACACCCAAACACGTATCCACACACATGCTTACTTATATTTATATATAATATATGCAAGATGTGAATGGCGGTGGAGAGGGGCGATAGTGATTAACAGTCTAAATTTATAAAGATATATTTATGTTGGGATTCGTATTGTAAATTTATCTTATATATTTAATTATAACCCCAACCTTTTCCTTATCGGCTGTAGATAATCCGAACATTTTCCTTATCGTCTCTAGATAATCCCAACCTTCTCCTTTTCGGCTGTGAATAATCCTAATCTTTTATTTATCAGCTGCGGATAATCCCACCCAATCTTTTCCTTATCGGCTCTAGATAATCCCAACCTTTTCCTTATCGGCTGTAGATAATCCCAACCTTTTCCTTATCGGCTGAAGATAATCTCAACCTTTTCCTTATCCTAAACTCACCTGCCATAAAGCACGAGCCTGCAGCCAATGACGTGAAGAGACACCTGGACTGTTTGCTGCGCATGCGCAACCCTGCCATGACCAGTGCCAGGAAACTGAAGACGAAGCCGAGAATGGCCAAGACACTACATACCTGGACATATACTGGAATGTAGAAAATTGACATTATCTGATACATATACATGTCAGGTAACCTAATACACATACATGTCAGGCAATCTAATACACATACATGTCACATTATCTGATACACATGCATGTCACATAATGTAATACACATACATGTCAGATTAACTATGACAGCTGTGATGTTGGAGGATTACGATTCTACCCCCACACCCTCTCCCCGAAAATGTTTTTTATATACATACATCATATATACTTTAAACAGTGTCCGCCCCACTGAAATTTAACCCCCCCCCCCATCCCTTCTAAAGTGTAGTCGGCTATAATTGCGTGACGTCGTTTATGAAAAAAAATCTTCGGTACCTCTTGCTTCCAACTAGATTATTGTTTGAATGATTTTATTTCGCGTTGAATGACTCGGATTTGCAACCTGTCTGTTCTGATATGCAGAGTTTCTTCCAGGCATCTCTTCGAAATTTTTTTTACCCCGAACGAAATGAAATTTATATAATTTGTATAGAAAATATATACTTTTAACAGTGTCCGCCCCCCCCCCCGAAGAAAGTCTACCGCCTCCCCCCCCCCCGAAAATTTCAAGTGCCCCCCCGGAGAAAAAAGTCTGGAAGAAACACTGCTGATATGAAACACGGAACAAAAAGACACATTTGGCCTACCTGAGTAAAATTGTTCTGGCAACGACTGGCACATGAAGTTATCACACAGTATCCAGAAGCCCAGGAGGGTGGAGTTGTTGGCGCCGTGCAGCATTGACCACCCGGGGGTGGCCGTCCCCGTGATGTGCAGGACGGTGCCGGTACACAGGGATATTAGAGCCAGGCAGGTGCTCATGGTGACGTCATCCACGTCCGGCATTGTCAGGCGATTACTGGAAACATTCAGGGGAGATCATTGTAAAAATTTATAACAGGGAGATAATTGTTTAACAATCATTAGAAAATTATTGCTGCATACAAAAACATAATAAAAGTCGTTTCTACTAACGCCTTATATCTGTAAAAAATTACATACACAGGATAAGATACTTAAAGTAGACGTATTCTTTACCACTGATTTATATAAGGTTAAGAATGTGCTCTAGGAAAAAATAATGTGAAGTTGATAATACGAGAGTTATAGTGAAGTTTTGTTTTAGCCTAAGTTTTATAGAAAAATTAGAATACATTTTGTTTCAAAACTGTAAAACAATAACAAAATTGCATTAATGTTTGTGTATTCATTTGTGCTTTTTGCGTTTGCGTTTGTGTTTGTGTTTGTATTTGTATTGTGTTTGTTTTTGTTTTTATGTTTTCGTTTTCGTTTTCTTTTGTGTTTGTATTTGTTTTTGCGTTGCGTTTGAGTTTGTGTTTGTGTTTGCGTTGTGTTTTTCTTTTGTGTTTGTGTTTGTGTTTAGGTGTGTTCTTTTCCCAAGTTGGTACACTTAAAAAAGAATCACATTGGCGGAGCAACGGTATACGGCAAGTCTATATATATCTATGTATATTTATATTATTTAAACATATAAAACGCATATATATGTATACACATATATAAATGTATGTATTTATATATTAATATATATACATGCTTATATATATATATATATATATATATATATATATATATATATATATATATATATATATATATATATATATATCAGGTGTAAAGCTGACGCACGTTTTGCACTTGCCGAACATTATCCCGGGTGCAGGTTTATCTAGTGTTTTACAGGCTAACATGTGCAAGCCTCTCAAAGATAGAAAAGACGGCCAACTTACCTGTACAACAATTTAACAAAGCAGACATCGGCTAACAAATCCACACGTTTTAAACGTGGAACCTAACAGGTCCACAAAAACTTCCTCCACTAGGATTTGAACACTGGACCATCAAGTATCAAACTGCTTGACATCTCAGTTCTCTTCTCAACTCACCAACTCCTGAATCTGATTCTAGACACACACGCCTTTGCTTAAACTAATATTTTTCTACACAACGTTTTACAACTTCATTTGCTTATCGTGTAATGTTAAGAAAAACTAACAATCCTTAACTCTTACATCCTGACTGTTTATAATTAAAAGAGTTGTAAAGTTGGGGTAAACATCTGCAGGGCAAGTTATTCCCCACACACCGTTCAGACAGTGAGTGAAATCGTTTCTAGCCAAACCAGATTTGTAGATGGAAGCGTGGCATTGGGTGCGACTGGTTGCTTTGTTTTAAATTGTTAACGATAGGACTGTCTAATTTGTTTAATTTGTTAACAATACCATTGGTTAATTTGTTATAATTTGTTAACGATTTGACTGTCTAATTTGTTTAATTTGTTAACAATACCACTGGTTAATTTGGTTAACTTGTTAAACACACGACTGGTTAATTTGTTTAATTTGTTAACAATACCACTGGTTAATTTGTTTAATTTGTTAACCACACGACTGGTTAATTTGTTTATTTTGTTAACGATACGACTGGTTAATCTGTTTAATTTGTTAACCACACGACTGGTTAATTTGTTTTAATTGGTTAACCACACGACTGGTTAATTTGTTTAATTTGTTAACCACACGACTGGTTAATTTGTTTATTTTGTTAACCACACAACTGGTTAATTTGTTTTGTTTTTTTAACTATAACACTGGATAATTTGTTTAATTTATTAACGATACAACTGGTTAATTTGTTTAATGTGTTAACGATACGACTGCATCTGATATGGGAGAAGATTTAAATATGCTGTGGTGTCATTCAGATGTGAGACGAGGGGGATTGGGAGTAAAAAAAACAGGCAAAATATTGAAATATATAGACGACCCCATAGGGCCATTACTTACTGTATTTTCGGTCTGTGTCTTGTAGGTAACTGGTGAATGTATTTGGAAATAAGAGACATACTATGCGTTTTATATGTGATGCCGAATTCTCAATACAAACATTCACACATACAGTCACACATACGCATTCAAGCACAAAAACGATAATACAAAATAACGAATACACACGCACACGCCTACTCATACGTGGAATATCACACGTCTGTATGTACATATTCAAATTCATTCAAACAAACCATAAGACACTTGAACACGAACACATATATAAATATAATCAATCAATCAATCAATCAATCAATCAATCAATCAATCAATCAATCAATCAATCAATCAATTAATCAATCAATCAATCAATTAATCAATCAATCAATCAATCAATCAATCATTATATAATTGACACAGTTAAAAACCACTAGCCCCTGAAGCAGTGATCTCTATTACGTTCCACAAGGAAACAGTAGGGTAGGAAATAAAAATCTTTCAGATAAAAGAAGCCAACAGGTCATTAGACTCTTCTATCCAGATTTCCTTTACTTATTATTTATTACACAATGTTGATAAACCTTTAATTACAATAATCCCACCAATGATTTATATCTGAATTATTATCGTGTTTGGCGTGAGAAAAATATATCTGTAATTAAAAGCACATATCTCACGCTGAATGATTGCGATCATCCTTGCGTGTTAAACGTGTTTACCGGAGCACTAACAGCTTGGTGTAAAAAAAAGAGAATAAAAACTGCTCACGGTGGTCTGTCGGAGTTGTACAAGTGCAAGACTTTTACACTGGTGAGTACTTCAATGTATGCATTTCACGTGTATGTAAGGTAGCTTGGTCTAGCGCTAGTCTGGTATGTGTGGAGATCTATGCCTTGGTTTGAGTCCCGATGTGATGTAGTCTTGTTTAGACTAGGGCAGGGGTCGGCAACCTTTGGAGACTGAAGAACCAAAATTTACAATTTACAAAATTTCCCAGCGTTTAAAGAGCCACTAACATTTTTATTACAATAGTATGATCTTTTAATAGGATTATATATATATATATATATATATATATATATATATATATATATATATATATATATAAATATATGTATATATATATATATATATATATATATATATATATATATATATATATATATATATATATATATATATATATATATATATATATATATATATATATATATATGTTACGGTCAAAGCCCGAAGTGCGGCCAAACCCCGGATTGGCCGGCCAATGCGCGGATTGGCCGGCTCTCTTGGCCAAAGCCCGAAAAACTTATAACTAAGATCGTATTTCGTACATTGGCCGGCCAATGCGCGCACTGGCCGGGACGTACTGGCCAAAGTCCGAAGTACTTAAACTTGACAGCGTATTTTGTACATTGGCCGGCCAATGCGCGCATTGGCCGTGATGTCCTGGCCAATGTTGTATCTAGACTAAGTTGTGATCGCGTTTTAATTATTCTGGGTGCGGTTTCATTGTGAGTAACGTATTGTTTAGCTCTTGTTTGTATTGCATTCTATATGCAAGGCGACATGGATCAAAAGGGCCGTCAGACCATGAGACAGACATAGCAAATGGCTGTCAAAAGAAAAAAATGCAAATATCGAACCAACGTTTGACATGAAAACTATGTTTTTAGATCATTTGACTACAGTACTGCATGAAAAACCAAACAATAGCTTTATTCTCAGCAAAGACAAATACATTGCTATTATAGAGGACGTTAAACAGTCTAAAGCAAAGCAGACAAAAAAAACTGTTGACTATCGTCGACTAAACAAATATGATGTTATTGAAGTTGACGGTAAAGAAAAACTTATTGTACCACTAACGGAAGACAATGGTGCTATTTTGTACTGCAAGCACTCAGAAGAGTTGTTCGACTTGATCAATGAAACTCACTTGAAAATCGGACATGGAGGTCGCACAAGGATGGAAAAAGAGCTCAAGAGAAAGTACAAAAATATCACCAAAGAAATCATTACTATGTATCTTCGGTTGTGCAAGCCTTGTCAGACAAAATTGTCTAATCCCAAGAAAGGTCTTGTTTCCAAACCTTTGATATTTAAAGAATTTAACTCAAGATGCCAAGTAGATCTTATTGATATGCAAAGTAACCCAGACGGCAAATACAAGTTTATACTCAGTTACCAGGATCATTTAACCAAGTTCATATTGTTGCGAGCTTTGGAAACCAAAAGAGCAGAAGATGTTGCTTACCAGCTGCTGGATATCTTCACGACTATTGGTGCCCCAAGTGTGCTTCAATCAGATAATGGAAGAGAATTTGTGAATCAAGTTATTTCTGAACTAAAGAACATGTGGCCTGAACTTAAACAAGTTCACAGAAAACCAAGGCATAGCCAAAGCCAAGGTTCAGTCGAACGTGCCAACCAAGATGTTATAAACATGATGATGACATGGATGCAAACAAATGAATCAGCTCATTGGGCTGAGAGTCTCAAATTCATTCAATTTATGAAAAATCGTTCTTTTCATCAAGGAATCCAACAATCACCATACGAAGCCTTGTTTGGATGCAAAGCAAAAGTGGGACTTCAAATCTACCAAGAGAGGCTCTCAATAAAATAGTTACTGAGGAAGATCTTGAGAACATTGAACAAGAAATGGAAGTTGCCATAAATGCAACTACATCCTCAGCTAACACATCTACTGCCGTGGCGGAACGTCCAGACCAGTTGCGTGACAATAATGTGGCCAACAGATTCTGCATAGTTTGTGAAAAACATTTTAGTGCAGCTCAATCTTGTGGATCCTGTGGCAAAGATGTCCATGCTATTTGTGGAGTACCCAATGAAGCAGACGAAGGGTACGGAGGGAACATTACCTGCAGATTGTGTCACAACAAATAAGACATCATGGAACACAGGTCAGCAGCTCATACTGGCTTGCAAAATCAAGGTGCTAAGATGCTTAAAACATCAAATACAAAATTTAAAGATGGTGAAGTGGGTGACAATGTACGCATCCGTGTTCCAGATGTTGACAGAGGTCGCGGTGATCCCCGAAGCGTGATTGCAGTTGTCATGAGCGTCGAGGGCGGTTTTTACAAATTAGGAACGGAACATGGTGTTCTAAAACAACTGTATGCTAGAAGTGAGTTTTCAATTCTTCACGAAAAACTGCTCTTATTGTCGTCATTTGGCACCGAGGAAAAATCACTACGAAGCATCGCATCTTCACAATCATTGACTGGGGGCCAAGGCTACACTCGCTGCAATTGCACAACCAAGTGCACAACAAATCGCTGCAAGTGTAAAAATAACAAGCTGCTATGTAATTCTAAATGCCATAAAAGTTCAACTTGTTGTAACAAATGATAATATTGATTGATTGAGACTATAGTACAATAAAAAAATTTGAATGTTTCTGTCATTTACTTTAATTAATAATCAATAAAGACTTAATTTCATGATCCTACCGGCATAAAAAAAAACAAAAATCTGCTCATGATCTTCTAATTAAGACTTTGGCCGGTCCACCATGGCCAGTCCGCGGACTGGCCGGGACTGGCCGGCCAAAGGCCGAAATCAAGAGCTATTTCAGACTTTGGCCGGTCCACAATGGCCAGTCTGCGGATTGGCCGGCCAAAGGCCGAAATGAAGCAAAGTTTCGGACTTTGACCGACCTATGGGAGGCGATATTGGCCAATGCGCGGATTGGCCGGCCAATCCTAGCATTGGCCGACTTCGGGCTTTGACCGTAACATATATGTATATATATATATATATATATATATATATATATATATATATATATATATATATATATATATATATATATATCAATGTATGTTGTTTATATTTATTGTAATTTCGTTCATTACCGAGTGTCGCAGACTAATATTTTTATGAGTTTTAAAAATAAAATAAAGTTATTATTGATATTTGTGCAAGGAGCTGAAGAGTCTCATCTTTACATCAAAAGAGCCACATGTGGCTCGCGAGCCGCAGGTTGCCGATCCCTGCCCTAGGCAAAACTTATTAAACGCCCCCTTTCACAAAAATTAATTACTAAAACATATGTATAAGAAAACAATTCAGTTAAAGTGACATATTAATTTATTATTAATTGCATACACGTTATAAGTAGACATCAAAATCAAATTTTACTTGCCTCCTTCGTCACAAAAGTTTGTACTAATTCCTCCAACTCCTGTTTGCAAGCGTAATCACATTTTATTGAAATTGTTGCTAAGTCCACGAGTGTAGTTTTTACTTTACGACATAGCCCACCCCCTCTTTAAAAATATTAAGTGCTCCTCCCCCCTTCCGGGGGGAAAAAGTCTGGGGAAAAACCACCAAAAAAAGTTCTTGCATTGTTGGACTCTCTGCAATCATCCCAAGGTGAGTTCCAAAACGGAACTAAATGTCTATAGTTATAATTGTAAAATGTCTATATTGTGTGATTATGTAACGATTTTTTTGTTTTTGAAAAATAAAAGGTTATATTTGTTATAGATTCCAGCCTAAAATTGTTATATATGAATCTTTTAGGAGAGGGTGAAAAATAAAAAATGCTAAAACAAGATACCAAACTAATTTGTTTAGAACTTAAGCTCTATATAATATTTGAAGTAGCAAATAATAACTTAAAGTAGACTTTAAATGTAAGCGGTCAACCTAAGGTGCAGGGATTTGAATTGAATGTAAAGTTAAGCAACGAATAATCTCCCATTTAAATATTCAAATAACAAAATTTCATTAAGGGAAATAACTTTCCCAAGAATTGCTAATTTAACCAAATGTAACTAATACAAGTTACAAAAATACAATGTAACGCTCTAAATTTCATTACGTAATATTTGTATCAAATATTTTATATTAACTATGTAACCTTGTAAAAACAATATATTTTACCAATTGAATACTTAAACTGTAGGTTTTGTTTGAAATTCTAAAACCGGTAGCTTTATTATAACATACTTCTATTCAATTTAGATGACACGTTAAATCTTGCACTTACTTAAATCAGAATTCTATATCTAGATATATTAAATGAAAAAATATTATTTCATATTTAAATCTATTTTTTTCAAGTTATATATATATATATATATATGTATATATATATATATATATATATATATATATATATATATATATATATATATATATATATATATATATATATATATATATATATATATATATATATATATATATATATATCTATATATATATATATATATATATATATATATATATATATATATATAATCAAAATTATAATATTGAAATAAAAATGTTAGTGGCTCTTCAAAAAATCAAAAAACTTGGAAATTTGGTGAATTATAACTTTTGGCTCTTCCGTCTCTAAAGTTGCCGACTCATGTAAAAAAAAAAAAAAAAAAAAAAAAGGTCCCTAAAGTAAAGGGATAACTTTAAAAAAATAAAATACTGGTAACTGTTTAAGACATGAGTCGGCAACTTTAGAGAGTTGGGTTCTATACTTTTTATTATATTTATGCAAGAAAACGCTTGCTCGCATGAATGTTGACCCGAAGATCGTCAGCACTCCAAAAGGCAACTTCTTCACCTCACTGTAGCATCCTGGAAGACTATTCCATCTGTCACATAATAGAGCCTCCACTCGCGGCATTTCTTTTAGAGCAGTCCACTTGTGCAGTGAAACGTGCATGTTTTACTGGACCTCCAAATCTTCTAACTTGCTCTTAATATATGTGAACTTACCACTCCACAAATGTTTGGTTTTCAAATCTAGCAATTTCATTAGAAGAGAACCAGCATCAATT